AAACACACACACACACGCGCGCGCACGTACGCACCTGTACGGTGGCCGCCGCCGCTCCCCTGCCAGCCGAAACAGGTCCTCTGCGAAAAGGTCCGGCACCCGGTAATCAGACGCCATGGGGGCGCTCTGCCTCGACTTGTCGCCAAACGTGCCATCGAAAATGTACAGGGGGCTGTCGTCCTGGGGTGAGGGCGGGCGGGGGCCGCGTTACATGGTGTTTTGGTGGGGCGTCCCTTGGGGTTTCGGGGCGCTCACACGCCAACAGGGCGTCTGAGTGTAATTGCAGGCGATGCGTGTGTGATTGTGTGTGTGTATGTGTGTATGTGTGTGTGTGTGTGTGTGTGAGTTGGTGTGTGTGCGCGCGCGCACACGCGCTTTGGGTGCGGCGTTGCTTGGCAGGCGCTTCGCCCCCCAGGGAAGCCCAGGAGGGTGAAGGCGGGCACAGGGGCCGATGCCGCGAGCAGCCTATAAGCATGGAACGCCGCTGGGGCGCATCACAGCCGGGCAACCGCGGGGCAGGAGCACACCGATGGTCGCTACATAGGCCAGGCGCGCGGCCCATGCCCGAGGCACTGTTCAGCACCCTTTGTCCCTTCCACTGGCCCCGACATCTCTTCCGCTGACCCCAACATGCCTTCCACTGCCCCCAACATTTCTTCGACTGGCCCCAGTGAACCTTTCTCGCACCTGTGAGTGGTCAGGGTCGGAGCAGTACCTCAAAAAGTGCTCAAACCGCAGCCGCACGGCGTAGCCGTCGTCGTCGGAGCCCACCTGGCCGAGGAGAGGTGCAGGTACGCGTGCGTGCTTGGCGGCATCCAGGCAATGAGCGACCGCTTGGGGCTTCGGCCAGGGTTGGCAGCGGCCCGGGCCGGGATCAGGGCGACTAGAGGGCCGCGGGCGGCAGCGACTACCGTGGAGCGGCAGCTTGAAGGCGCAGCCGCGTGTGCTCATCGGAGGGACGAGCAGGTGAGGAATGCGGCCGCAGGGGCTGGCCCCGCGAAGGCGTGCGTGGCTGGCTGGCCCCGCGGCGCGCCCCCACCTTGAACTTGTGGTCCCTAAACCGCCGAAGAAGCTCCTCGATGGTCCACCCCCGCGCCGCCCCCCAGCCGTCCATCAGGCCCGTGATGACCACCGGCAGCCGCGGGCGCTCGAAGCGCTCGGCAAACTCCTCCGGGGTGATGTCCTGGGCGGGCCAGGGGGGAGGGGGCCGCGGGCGCAGGGGGGCCGCTGCCGTGGGCCTTCCGGTCCCACCTTCAGCAGCCCTTTCAGCGCCGAGCGCGGCGGCCGCGGCCGGCATGCGGCAGGCTGCGGCTCCTCTTCGCGAGCTTTGCCGAGCCTTTGGGTCATGCGAGTACCCACTGCGACGAATCCCGCTGCCCCGCTGCCCAGGGGGTTGCGGTGCAGGGCGGCGGCGCGGTCCGACGGGCGGGTCCCAGCAAAGCGCCCCGCAGGTGCCCGCCGGCGACCCCCCATTGAGCTTCTACAGTCCCTCATCCTATCACACGCACCGAGATGTGGATCCGAGGGACCTCGTCCACCAGCCCCTCTGTGCTGAGGGCGGAGGGGTCCTGGGCGTACCCGCGCCGCCGCCACTCGCCGCGCGACACGCTGAGCTCGCTGCGAGCCGCGCGCTTGGCGGCGCGGATTTTGTGCTGCACATGCCTGCCGCAAAGAAATCGCATGCGCATGTGCATGAGCATGTGCATGAGCATGTGCATGTGCATGTGCATGTGCATGTTTGGATTGCGTGTGCATGGGCCGCGCGCTGGCATGCTGGCCGCCAGGGCCGCCGAGACGGCTGGCGGGGAGGGGAGCGCGCGGCCTGCTACTCACTCCTCCTCCTCGGGCATCAACACGGGTAGCAACTTCCTGATGGCCTGGACATCTTCTGGGGGCCACGGCGGCTGTTGCTGCTGGTGTTGCTGCTTGCATTCGTGCTGCTTGCGCTCGTGCTGCTGCTGCTGCTCCCCTTGCTCAAGCGGCGGCAGCGCTGTTGCTCGCTGATTTGAGCTGGGATCTTGGTGCGGCATGAATCACAGTGTTACCGTGCTTCTCGGATTGGAGCGCAGCAGCTCATCTAAGGAGATAATTTGCGTTTGGCGCGATTATGCTGGCGATCTGGCAGTGGTGTGTAGCAATTCAATGTTTGCAGGATGAAATTTGGTGTCGTCTGACTGCCAGGATGGCCGATGATGTCCTGCTCATGTGGTGCTGTGTCACTTGCGTGACTAGCCAGTGCCCCACCAGCATGAGCTGCACTGGAGTAGTCAGCAGGCAATGATTGAAGCACTGAGCTACCATGTTTGATGCCAGCAATGTATGAAATGTGGGTGTCGGGCGAGGGATGGCTGGCTGCCACCCAAACATTTTGCAGACCTGTCAAAGTACTGTAAGCGGCAAACCAGCATGAGCAGGTGCCCATGAAGAGGTGCGGTGTTGGCGAGATCCAGGCGACCATGTGTAAAGGTGATGTAGGGACCTTTTGGCACGAATTTTATCTTGAGGTGCACTGCCGCTGCCCTTGGATCTCAGCACGGCACATGAGTTGAAGCAAAAGCTCTGGTGTGCAGGTGTGCTGCATGTTGGAGACAGTGCATGATATGCTACTGACTTGCACTGTAGCACAACTGCGAGGGGGGGTACAGGCAAACGCCGCAAGGTTACAGCCTTTATACAAACAAGGGCCCTCTGCATTGCACCAAGGCTTTGAAGTGGCAAGCAGTGAGCAATTCAGTGCAAACTCACCCAGCCGCACCGCACAAATACCGACACAAACCAACAGTTCAAACCCGCAGCGCCTTCCTCACGCGCCACGTGCTGCTGAGGCTTGTGTCCAAGTGTCGGTCAAACGAAGGGTCGAACAAGACACGGCAAGCTTGTTTTCCAGCAACCTCATAAGAGGATGATGCTAAACTTCTGCGGACCATGTCCAGACACATTCAAACGGCCCAGCTGCATGGCCTAGGTCATCCTGCCTGCCTGAGGCGCAATTATCATGTGATGTCACATGTCAGGCCCGGCACTGCTGGTTCGACTTGGCCATGGCGGCCATTGGCACACCATAGCTGTTCTGCCGAACAAACAACAAATCGCGCACTATTATCACAGAAGATCCCAACATGGACCCCGCCATTTCGTGCCAAGATTTCCCTGAAAAGGTCCTGCAGCAGCTCGTGCTCAGCTGACACTGCTCAAAGGTCCTGCAGCAGCTCGTGCTCAGCTGACACTGCTCAGCTGCATCAACAGTGGAATGCCGGGGGTTGCGGAGGGTTGGTACTGTAGATACGATAAGATTATGGCTTTTAATCTTACATACGCCTCATCCAACACACACCCGTTGCCGTTTTCTCCACCGCTCTTGCGTGCCCACCACCGCGGTCATCAGTCCCAGCAAGCCTCCCCAGCGCTGAGACAAGCAGTTGGCAGACAAATTTACGCGTTGATCCGCGCAAGGAGCATGCCGCGGCTTCGGCCGCTGGCAACAGCGCTGCTCGCGCTGCTTGCGCTTGCCGCCGGGCTCCAACAGCTGCCCGCCGCGCGCGCCTTCCCCAGCGGCGGCCTCGCCGCGCGGCGCCACCGCTACCCCTGGGACATCCCCCGGGAGGAGGCGCCGCGGCTGCCGTGGGAGGGGCTGCAAAACGACCTGCCGGCCCTGCTGCAGGTGCAGGCGCGCGGGAAGGAGGTGGCCGTCATAGTGTTCAATGAGGGCTTCTCGGCCCTCGCCCTCAACTGCCTGGTCTCCCTGATTGAGTACGGCAGGAGCCCCAACTATATCGTCACAAGCGTCGGCGCCAGCAGCCTGGCGTACTGCCAGGCGCTGCGGCTGCCCTGCTATGACGGCGCCAACCTCCTGGCAAACATCACAACCTATGAGCAGCAGCAGCAGCAGGAGGCGGCCGCAGTTGCGGCTGCGAGCGGCGGCAGCGGCGGCAACGCCAGCGCTCTCAGCACGGACGTGGACGCGAAACGGTACACCACTGACTGGTTCCACCTGGTTTGGATCAAGACGCTGGTGGCGCACGCGGTCAACGGGCTGGGCTACGACGTTCTTTTTGCAGGTGGGGTGCGCGGCAGGTGCAGCAGCAGCAGCAGCTGCTGCTGCTTGAGCGCGCGCACGCTTAAGATGCTGCAAGTGGGGCGGTTGATGGGCCGGGGGCACCAGCATGTTGCAGGTGCTGCAACGCTGCGGCTAGCCTTCGCATCAGCAAGGAGCCTCGCGCGGCGGATATTGTTGAAAGAGATCAAAGCGAATGGATTTTAGGCGGCGTGAAGCATCCGGCTAATGCACTGGTTTTGCAGACGTGCAGCGCATTGAAAGCGGCGGCGGCAGCGGCAACATGGGCCGGGCTGGTGTTACCCCAGCATGGGGCCAGTGGGGTTGCGAGTCGAGTCCGTCCTTTGTAGTGCGATTGCGGCTATATAGCCCTTGCGCACGCCATCAGCAGCTGAAGATCTGGGGTTGTGAACCATGTACTGTCGGTCCACACCGACGCGAATCACCTGTGCGCGCCTGCCCAGAACCACATGCACATGCGCAGGCAGACACCCACCCACCCATCCGTGTGCGGGCTCCCACGCATGTGCACACGCGCACACACACACACACACACACGCACACACACACACACACACACACACACACTCGCACGTGCACACACACATATTCACTCGTATCACCCCCCAACAGATACACACAAACACACACATATACACACACACACACACATACACACTCGCACATGCACACGCACACCCCCCTGCACCATCCCCAGACGCGGACGTGGTGTTCCTGAAGGACGCATGGAAGGCGTACCGCGACCTCCTGGAGCGGTACGAGGCGGATGGATCTTTCATGTATGAGCAGGTGCGGCCGATGAGCGGTGCGGGAGGCGCGCGTGTGCTCACTCAGCGTCCGCGAATGCGGCTCCGAGGTCGGGCTTTGAGGCGGCTAACGCGCGGAGCCGCAACAGCAGCAGCAGCAGCAGCAGCAGCAGCAGCAGCAGGTCACGAGGAGGGCGTCACATGCGGCCATTCCCCTTGCGCCTGAGCCGCTGCTGCGACTTCTGCGCCGCAGACGTGGCTGAATGCTCGCACAGGTTTCACTCGCGCCTTGGTGATATTGTCACTCGCGCGGCGATCACGACCGCCCCTTCCGCTGCCGACGGCCGGCGCCTGCAGGGCAACTACACGCGGTCTGACGGCACCAGCTTCATCCACAAGTACCTCAACAGCGGGAACTTCTTACTCAAGTACAACAGCAGGACTAAGAACATGATGGAGATGTGGCGCGTGGGCTATGAATTCCAGGTGCGGCGCGCAGGCGGCCGCAGTGTTCACTGTGCTGTAAGGCGCTCCCTCTGTGATTCTTCTCAGTGCAGCACGACGTGGGGCGGCACAAGTTTTGGGGTGGGGGTGCGACAGTCTACATGCCCTCTTGATGGAAGCCACGAATCACCTGGCAAACTGAACCAAGGCCCCTCCCACACCCACATTTCAGATCAACGTCAATGGCAATCAGCTGTGGCTCAACCGCCTGGACAAGATGGGCTACAAGATCTGTCACAACAAATCAGTCTGCCAGATGCACCGGGAGGAGGACTGGGCAGCCATCAAGCCCCACCCCAACCAGTTCCGCGGCCGGGGCGCAATGTGCACGCCCGACAGCTTTGAAGAGGGCCTGTGCACCGACCGCCGGCTGTATGTGCATGCGGTGTGCAAGCAGGGGCACCACCAAAAAATCGCAGCGTTCAAGAAGCTGGGCCTGTGGTGAGTGCAAAAACAGCTGGGTGCGCTTCGGGGGTTGGTACGTTGCGCGGATTGTCCTCGTGCGGGGCTCCACTTGTTGTTGCACGGCAGGTCAGCACCATCGCCGCCATGCCCACAGCTCCAGCTGTCACCCTCTTGCGGCATGGCAAGTGCAGTGTCAGCGTTCCTGCAGCCATCCGCCCAGTGAGGCAGTGCAAGGGAGGGGGGAAGCACAGGAACAGCCTGCATTGGCTGTTTTCTTGGCCTCAATCTCTCCGTGCATTGCGCCATCTGTCTTCATGCTGGCACCCCACTTTGCTTGCTGCCCCGTTTCACTTCAACACAGGTTTATTCACATGGAAAGCCACAACCCGCCCAAAGTGACGGTGCGCCTGCCCCAGGACGGATCCCTGCCCTGCGGCGGCCCCACCTGGGAAGACGAGTACCCCTTCTCGTCATGATGGCATCGCAGTGATGAACGATGACGAGGGCTTCAGTGACACGTAATCGCTGGCATTCAGGGACCAGCCAACACGGCCATCCGACCCTAACATAAGGGCGATGACTCATAAGGCTCCTGTTCCCCAAGCAATCTTTGGGGAGAGGGTGTGAGTGACAGCGGCACCAAACAGCAGCACAATTTCTTGGTATCGGGCCTTTAGACCCGCATTTTTGTTGGGCGGCTCCCGCTTTTTGCGCCCCCTGCCTTGTGCTGGCCTGGACACCGTTTGCTGGCCTCTTGTTTCAAGTGGGCCCTTGCTTTCGGCCAGCCCTCTCGGCCGGTCGGGGTCTGTGGCGGCGGTTTGGGGTGAGCACGGCCCTGCATCCCCTGGCTGTGCCATGAGTGCCGCATGCTGGGCCCATATACAGCATCCCTGATCACTGTTTGCATTTCATTGACAGTGTCATGAGGTTTGGACAAGTCAGGGAATCAACAGGAACTTGTCAGTCAGGACCGCAGCATACCCGGTCTGCACTCATCACTTTGTCCTTCCTCACCAGGCCTGCGTCCCCCGCACGCTGCACAAGCGCGGGCGCGCAACCGGCCGCGGCCATCCGTTTGTCTCTGCACTGCCACTTCATTCAGCCCAGCTTTTGTTACCAGCTCTAATACGTCTATCTCACTTTCGCGGGGGCCACATTGCAGGCATAGCCTTGCAGACCTGTGGTTGGTCGCTTCAACGTGCATCAATTTCTCAGTGCAAAGCAAACATTAATGGAGCAACCAATGAACAACCAATAAAGTACCAATGACCAAGCAATGAACAGGGTTTACTGAGGAGTCCCGATGCCCTGGGCCCCGTCAGCCTGCCGGTGCACCCCAAACCCAGCGATCACAGTGCGGCAGTAGGGGCACAGCGCGGGCTTGCCAGCAATCAGCCGGACAAGGAGCACCCCGCAGCGCCCGCACAGCGAGTGCCCGCACGGGTGCAGCCGCAGCAGCAGGCCCGGCTGCTCCTCCAAGCACACGCCGCACGCCTCGGCCTCGCGCGCGGCGCTGCAGCCGCCGCTCCTCCCGCCGCCGACGCCGCCGACGCCGGCGCCGCGCGCCTGGCGCTCGCGGAGCGCCTTGGCATCATCTAAGAGGCGAAGCAGCTGGGCCTCGTGGGCCTCCGAGTCCCCAGGACTGCATCCCTCCCCCTGCAACCGGCCGCAGGCGTCCAGCGCGGCGCAGCCGCAGCTCAACGCCGGCGACGGCGTCGCGTCTGCCACGCAGCAGCTGCAGTTTGGGGCTGTGTGCCGCGCGGTGCAAAGCACGTAGGACCGGACAGCATCGAACATCGAGCAAGCGTCGCCGTCTGGTGGCCGCGGCGCCCCCGCGACGCCGCCAGAGCCGCTGACAGCTTCCTGAGCTTGCGGCTTCGGCGGGAGTGCCTGGCAGCGGGGCGCCGCGTCGCAGACCGGGGCGCCGCTCGCAGTGCCTTCTGCCTGGTGCTCAAGCGCCAGCGTGCGCGGGCACAATTGCTGCATCAGCTCGCCCGGCGCAGGCTGCGGCTGCTGCTGCTGGTGCGAGGACGACTGCGCGTCCGTCTGCCCGATGCCGGCGGCTAGCGCTGCCGCTGCAGCACAGCCGCCTTCGGACGCGATCGCGATCGCCGCCTGAACCAACAGCTGCCGCTTCAGCTGCGCCGCCGCGAGCTCCTGCAGGCTGCACACGAAGCGAAACGCGACGGCGTCACCCGTGGCGGCGTCACCCGCGGCGGCGTCACCCGCCCAGTAAGCGGGTGATACCACCCGCGAGTGCAGCAGCGCGTCTCGCAGCGGCACGTATGGGTCAAGCAGTTCACACAGGGCCCCCGATAGGCCCTGATCCCGTGCTTCGTGCCACGGAAGCCGCCCCTCCGCATTCCGCGCCCGCCGCGGGTCCGCCGCGGCGGCGGCGCCGGTGCCGCCCGCGCGCCGGAGGTGCGCCGAGAGCAGCAGCGTCGCGAGGCGCGCGTCCGGCGCGCGGGCCGCGGCGTGGAGCGGCGAGCTGAAGCGGGGGACGAGCATGCGCGCGACCAGCGCTTGGTGCCGTGTGCGAGCCGACAAGGAGGCCCCGGCCTGCAAAGCCGGGCGGCAGGTTCGGGTGGCAGCGGCGGAGTGTGTTGTGACCTGCCCCCGAAAGGTGTGGGCCGCGGGTTCCAGCTTGCTGATAAGTTGGATCGGTCCCACTCATAACACTGCGTTGTTTTGTCGGGCACAGACGTGCAAGCACAGGTAAGGGGGAGGGGTGTTTATGTGCACAGACCCTCACTTCAATAAGGGCCGCTGCTGCATCCATGTTTTTGTTGCAGACCGCCAGGTGCAGCGCCGTGAAGCCGTACATGTTGGTGGACTCCAGCAAGGCAGGCTGCCCCTGCTGCTCTCGCAGCCGCCGCTGCTCCTTCAGCCGCATCTCCCGCTGCCGCCGCACGCCCTTCCGCCGCCGCCGCTCCTGCCAGCGCCGCAGCCGCCCCGGCGCCGCGGGGCCGCCTCCGGCTGGGCCGCCGGCCTCCCGATCCGCGGCTGTCGGGGCGGGTGCGCCTTGGAGCAGCGGGTAGGTCTCTCGCGCCTCCAGGCAGGCGCGCACGCACGCGGCGCCGCCGTACAGCGCGGCGTTGTGGAGCGCATTGTTGCCGCCCCGGCGGTCGGCTAGCCATGGGTCCGCCCCGTGCTGGATCAGCAGGCGCGCGGCTGCTCCGCCGTCGCCGCCGCCGCCGCCGCTGCGCCGGCAGGCCAGCATTAGGGGCGTGTCATCCAGCCCATGCGTCTGATTGAGCAGCTGCTGGAGCTCCAGCCGTGCCTCCTCAGGTGTAGGCGCCCTGCGTGCGCACACGAACCAAGGCAACGCCGGCGCGAATCACGGTAACGCTGGTGCAGCAGATAGGCTGCAGAGTTGTCTGACCACTGGGGCTAGTGGATGGCAGCAAGCCTGAACAAGACTATCGTCACAAACAGCAGTAGCGGGTCTAGGGCTACTGCTGATTGTGACAATAGTCTTGTTCGGGGGGCAAGCAGGCCATTGGCAGTTGCAGCGGAAGTTTTGCGCACCTGCTGGCGACAATCCTGATGAGCTCCCGCAGCAGCTGCTCTCCGTCCCCGCCTTGCATCGCCGCAGCTGCATGGAAGACGCTGCCTTTCAACCGGGAGCTCCTTGCACGCAGCAGCTCGGGCCGCATTGCAGCCAGGCTGGCTGCGCTGGCAGTGGGAGAGCCGGCGTCCAGGGCCAACGCCAGCCGGTGAGTGGCGAGGGTGTTCCCCATCGCCTGAAGTGCCGCGTCCTACCGGGTGTGTGCGCGCGTGTTGGCGGCGTGTGGAGCACGCGGCATCAGCCGCCCGACCGGGGCGTGACGCACGCGAGCTGAGGGTCGCAGCAGCTGAGTCAAGATCGTGGGCGTGTATATGGATACTTCTAGTCACTGGCGTTGCGTAGAGCACGTACCTCACCCCTGTCACCTCGCCGAAGTCCGGGGAATCGTCTTTGCTCATTGTCACTCGGACAAAGATCCCGCTACTGGTGACCCAAAACAGACGACCAGGCGGCGCGCAGGCTGTGGAATATTGACAAAAACGCTCGTAATCAGCGTAAGGTACGCTTGTACACGGGCGAAGCCATGATTCGTGATGGTTGTGATGCCATTCAGGGCGTACCGGCGCAACGGTACGCCTGGCCGCGCAGGCATGTGACGGCGGCGGAGGCACGTAAAGAGGGCTGGAATGTCCCTTATAAGGCTCTTCAAATAATTTAATGCCTCAAGTGCTGACTCAACACTATAGCTGAGGTGAAGCTGAGGCCCACAGGCTGTCAGCAATGCCACAAACACTGTACTGTACACCTTGCTGCAACTTGCAAGGTTGAAATCCTGCCTGGGGCGTGCTGGTCACGCGCTCGTCGCCCAAGCACAGTATATCGATTTGCTGATGCGTGGCTGAAGGTCGACACTTGACACATAACACTACAAGACACCAAACGCCTCGCAGGCAGGCAGCAGCCAGGCCGGCGCAGTCAGCCCATACCGCTCGGGCAAGCTGACGCCCACGCCATCCAGTCGCCAAAGCGGGCCATTAATCAATCCCAGAGCCCCGCACTCCACCGCCGCTAGCCGCGCCTCAAGCGCACGCATATCTGCCCACAGCGCCGCTCTGGATGCGCCAATCACCCCAGCCGCAGCCGCGGCGCCCCTGGCTTGCGCTCCCTGCCCCTCAGCAGCCGCCGCTGCCAGGGCATGTGCCTGGCGCCGAGCCCCGCTGCCGCCTTCTGCACCCGCGGTCAGCGGCAGCGGCCGGGGCAGGAGCCGCTTGAAGGCTGATCTGTCGCACTCAGTCAACCGCAGCCGGGCAAGGACTGAAGGGCAGCTGCCATCGAGATGTATCAGGCGGTCTTGGACTGCTGGAGCGGGACCACCACCCACTCTGCTCGGGCCATCGCCGCAGCTGCTGGGGACCGTGGCGCGCATCGCGCTGGGCATGTTGATGCCGGCGCAGGTGGGGGCGATGCCGCCGTCGCCGCCTCTCCCACCACAGCGGCACGCCCTGTGCCCAAGTAAGGACGCAGGCCCTGGCAGAGCCGCCTCGCTTGCTATTGTCGGCTCGTGCTGCTCTGAGTCAGCTTGTTCGGGGGCCGCTGCCGAAACGGCAGGCACCGCCTCTGCCGCCGCTGCTATCAAAATGCCACCGTTGCCAGCCTCGGCTTGGACCGGCGAAAGCAAGCCAGCCGGCGTGGTCTCGCCAGCTGCTGGTTGCACGTTTGATGAGGCTGATGAGGGTGTCGTGCCTGCAGCCGCCGCCCCATCTGTCCTGGGTTGGGCGCCGACTGCAGCCGGCCCAGCGGCCGCCGCAGGCGCCGCTGCCGGCCGCGGCGAGGGCGCGAGGGGTGCGACCTCAAACCACCCGCTGTCTCCAACAGGGGCAGGTAGTGCCTGCTGTGGCGCTGGTGTTTGCCCTCCGCCGAGCGCCACCTGTGCAGGGGCCGCGGCCCCCGCCGCGCCCTCGGGCTGCTGCCTCCCACCTCCCCCGGTCTCAAGCTCAATCCAACCGCTGTCGAGGACAGGCCCCGCGGCTTTTGAAGCGCCCAACAAACCAGGCGGCTGGGGGATCTGGCCGTCTTGGGCTGCAAGGCTTGTGCTGGCACTTTGCGTTGCCACTGGCTGCGCCGAATAATGCGCCGCCGACGTCACCACGTCCACTGCCGCTGCTGCAACCAGCTGGCGGTCTGCTGCCTGCTGCGGCTGGCCGTTCGTGGCGGCGGTCGCAGCTGCTTGCATCTCCATGCTGCCGGCCGGAGGCGGCTGCGCGCATCGCCGCGCGACAACGCCGTCCCTTGCTGTTTCTGTGACGGTGTTGCTGATGGGCGCAACCCCTGCCATACAGCAGGGGCCTGGTGTGGATGCAGCCCAGCCCCCACCAGCCGCAGCGCCGCAGCAATCGCGCAGACCGGCGGTGCCCAAAGCGGCCGGAAGCTGCTGCAAAAGCTGCTCCAGCCGCTGCAAGATCAGCGCCTCACGCGCCTGCTGCAGCGCTGCGGCCACGCCGCCCAATGCGCCGGACGCTGTCCGGTGGAATGCCCCCACTGCCGCCTGCCCAGCAGCCTGGCACGCCGGCGTCCCCATCGCGCCGCCCGCCATCAGGGGAAACCTCCACGGTGCGGCGGCTGCGGCATCACTTGCTGCTGATGGAAATGCGGCCACGCCTGGTGGGGCCGCACGCGCAGCTGGAAGGGCGTCCCTGGGCGCAGGACACACGGGGTGCGAGGCGCAGCAGTGCTGCCTCGTTACGTCCGCTTGCGTCGCGACATCTGCGGCCGGCCAGGCCTGCAGCCGCACCGAGCGGCGGCTGGGTGCGCAGTACTTGCGCCGTTGCGGGGTCCCCGCATCCCGCTGCCCCTGCAGTCGCTGCCGCCGCTGCTGTCGGCGGCGCATTTGCTCTTCCCTGATCATCTCCAGGTTGATGTCGCACGAAGACACGGGGGACAGGTCGGTCGATGCGCCAACAGAGGGCCTTGGCTGCTGCACCTGATAAGCTTCCATTGCTGTGGCGGGCCCCACGGCGCCGGCCGTGCTGCGGCGCCGCGCGTCGCGTGGGGAGAGTGTGGCGGTTGCCAGAAGCTCTCGGGCAGCTGCCGATGGCCTCGGTGCGCTGCCTGTGTCACCCAGCAGCGCATCACCTTGCCAGCCGAGGCCCTCTGCCACTTGCTGCTGGGACCGGGCTGCTGGCACCTGCGCCTCCAAAACGTGGCGCCCTTCCGCTGCGGTCGGGTCGGATGCGGCCGCGTCGCAAAGTGGGAGTTTTCTCCTGCCTTGAGGCATTCCTGCCAGAAGCGGGCCCTGAGACGACGCGCCCGTGCCGCTTTCTTGCCTGCTGCACGCGTCGCACCGCGCACCCTCACCAGCTGACGAGCTGCTGCCGCGTCTGCTCACGGCAATTCCTTGCAGTCCTGCATGCGCGGGGCTGAGGTGGTCGCACGGCGCGCCCGTCTCATGCGTTGCTGGCTGCTCAATGTCCAAGCTATTGTTAACAAAATTGCGGAGCTTTGTCGACCAATTTAAGCTCTGCCTGCTGCTGCTGCGCCTGCTGCCGCTTCTGCCGCTGCTGGTCTCGCTGCTTGAACTGGGGCTGGGGGCTCGCACTGCAACCAGCAAGCTGTGCAGGAGCTCAGTCTCTGCAGTGGCAGCGGCGGCAGCAGCCGCAACTGCCGTCCCTGCTTGCTGAGTGGGGACGGCAGCTGTCCCTGCGTTGCCAGTAAACAGCACTGCCGCAGTGCCCGCCACCGTCGCTGCCTCCGCGTGCAAATCACTGCCGCCAGGCTGGGCCAATTCTGGGCAAATGGCAGCTGCCACACAAGTTGGCACAGCTGCCGCCGCCTGCACCGGCGGCGTGCGGGGGGCAGCAACCTGCCCATGAAGCCCACGTGAGATTTCGCCCGCGCTCCGAGTCTCTACATCTGGGCGAGACTTGTCGGCAACGCCAGGGCTCTGCAGGGCGTGCCGATCTAGATCGGCACGCAAACCTGTTGGCTGTGTGCGGTTTCTGGGGCGGCCGCTTTTGACGCTGCCGTTGACGCTGCCCTCGCTGCTGCCCCCGCTGCTGACCGTGCTGCCGCTGAAGCTGCTGTAGTCCTCGTCGGCACTCTGCTCGAAGCTCAGAACCTCTGTCTGCGGCCCGAGGCTCACGAGCCGCAGCATCCCCTGGCCGCCGCCGCCGCCGCCAGCTCGCGTGAGCCCGGGCACCGGCGGAGCCGTGGGCGCCTGTGGCTTCGGCTGTACAGGCAGCCGCTGCAGCCCGGCATGCTGCAGACCATGACCATGCTTTGCGCCTACAGCCGCCGCCGCAACCCACGGCGCGGCAGCACTTGCAGACGGGGCGCCGGCCTCATCTTCAGAAAACACAATCTCATACCCTTGGATGCTGCCGCCGCTGGCAGACACCACTACATCGCCACTGGACACCTCTGACACAGTCATTGCCTCCTCAGACACTTGCTGTGCAAGCGCGGCAGATGGTAATGCGGCCAGGCGTGCTGCTGGCGCTGCCTGCGACGGCGCAGCGGGGGCGCGTGCCATGGCGCCTGTCTGCGTCCACGACAAGGCGGCATTTGCCGCTGCTGCCTGAGTCGTGCCTGCGGATACAGCAATGTGATGAGTATTTTGTGTGAGGCTGTTTATGCACATGCGTATGCGTCAGGAATCGCACAAACCATGGCGTGTGTTGCTGCAGCAACAGCGACACGGTTGGACGCGGCGCTGCTTCTGGCGCTCTGATGGATGCAACACCCCATCTGGCGCTACACGTTCAGCGTGTAATAAATTTCTATATATTTTGTTTCTTTCCGTGGCGGGTTTCACATACCTTGAAAAGGCGAGTGTGAGGTCCCCGAGAGCTCCTGCTCCGGACCACCCCTCCGGGTGCTTGGCCGCGCCATTTACTTTCATTAGCGATTCAATCGTCTGCAATTGCTTATGTGTCCCTTGGATTGATGTCGACGATTTCTGGAGTGTGCGATGTGTTGACCTGGTCAACTCACCATGAAGGAGCACCACCTGCTTCTCAGCTTGCACAGCTTACATGTCAACAGCCACACACGCATGCCCATAGATAAGAAGCAGGTGTTGGTTCAACACGACGTGAGCGAACAAACCCGCTGTGGAGCGTGGAGCACGGTTCTCACAGTGGGCGTGGCTGCAGTGCACGTTGTCATCCGCTGCTATCGACGTTCACAGCTAAGGAAGTACACCCACATTATTCTTCTTGACGGCACATTATTCTTCTTGACGGCACGGCTTGAAATTTTGCATGTATGCGCAAGGTGAACGGTTGCCCGTGTGGGTGGTGCCACGTTGTGGAGTTGGTGTACTCTGCCTCGCTCACTTGACAAGCAGGTTCTCTTCTCCCCCTTCCACAACCAAGTTTCCATACTTATCACGATGACACGTGGACGGGGCGCGCGAGCGAGCGCCGCTGGAGGGCCCGCTTGGCTGCCCACTGCAGGGTGGGTAGCAAACCGACAGCCGCACGGTTGAAGCGCCCCTACCTGCCATGCAATCAAAAGAGGCTGTTACATCAATACTAGAGTTACGGTCAAGAAACGTGCCAACCGAAAATCATGATATCACATGTCCAAGTTCCAAGGCCCAGTTGTCACGACACATGGGACTATGGACATGAGGACACTTGTCCTATTCATCTATGTGGTCAACCAAGATGCCGTGCCGAGTACTGTCAACAAATCCCAACTCAAAACAATTGGATGGAAATTTCAACTTCATTTTGTGAACACAGTAGACTCTATCTCTGTATGATACCTTCTAATCAAAAAAGTCGGTTGTGGGCACACCCGCCGCGGCCAAGTTCGTTGGAGCTTGTCGGCCCTTTTTGTTCGTGCATTTCATTGATTCGTCAGCTTACTGAATTCAATGATAAATATAAGTTGCAAAGCAGACGACTGTCGCCAATTGTGTTTCCTACAGTGTTTGCCATGTCGATGTGGCGGGGCGGCAGCTGGCCTCCATTTGTGAGGCCAAACATATCGCCGAACAATCTGCATTATTTGCGACAATCGATGCAGCGCGCCCCCTGGGCGCCTCCCGGATCGCAGCGCGGTCGGCAGTGGCGGTGCACGGGCTTGACTGTTGCGCTACTCGCAGCGATCCTTGCCATGCAGCCAAGCCCTGCCGCCGCCCGCCCGATTGGATTGAGCGGAGGTTCCGGCGCCACCACTTCCGCTGCCCGGCAGCATCTGCGTGCACTCCTCCCCTGGAGCAACGCACCGCGCGCGGCCGCAGGCGAGGACGGCAGTAGCCGCGGCCCCGGCGCGGCGGCACGGCGGCGCCGCATGCACGAGTTTCGAGTGACGGTCGGCGCAGCCACATTCCCAGACCCATCCACTACCAACGACCCGCCTGGCTCCGCCACGCCCGTGTCGGGGTTCGATCTGCCGCGCCCGTTTGGAGCAGCCACTGTGCTGGTGGCACCCGACGCGGCTGCTGACGAGCGGGACGACGCCGCGCAGCTGCCCCGCTGCTACTTCTCAAGCGGCATGAACCGCTGCTTCCTCAACCCGGAGTTTCCGCTGACGTACCCTCCTCCAAAAGGCGACCCCGCCGCACGGTGAGATGCCGGGGGCCGCACGCATCATCGGCGGGCCCATCTGTTCAGTTCAGCTTGCCACTAGTTGGCGGCTTGTGCCGGCCGCACTCTGCATCCTCACACAAGGCCGCGGTGCATGATATCTACCATGTGTCATCCACCAAGATGCCGTACCGACTGCGCTTTTTAAAACCCGCCGATCCCTGCTGATGCTTGCGTTAATCCCTGCTGTTGGCCATGTACCAGGTTCGAGTTGAAACTGGTGGCGCGCGGCTATGCCTGCTCGCGCCACGTCAGCGAGGTTTCCTGCAGCTCTGACCCTTCACAACAGTGCCGGTGGCGCGGCGGGCCCCCAGGCAGCATTGGCGGCGCGGGGGGCGGCGGCGGGGGCAGCGGCGGTGGCGGGCCCGCGCTGGCGGCGGCGGTTTCGGGCGGACTGGGGCGGCCGTGCGCGCTAGATGAGGCAGCGCAGGCCAAGGCTGTATCGGACTTCTATGTGAGTCGCGAGTTCATCTGCAGTCTCTGTTGCTGCCAGGCCGTGCTGGAGAATTGGAAGAAAGCTGTCAGCAATTGCTGGGGCAGGTTATCAGGGGCAGCCGGGGCAGGCGCCGGACCAGCTGGCGGGCTGCTGGCTGCAGGCATGCAAGGCCGACTTGTAGATCTGCTTGTCGTCGCAGGGAGCAGCATTCGTTCATCAGCAGCTCGACCTGTTGTGTTGTAAGCATCTCGATCGCCTCACCGGCTGTCCTGACGCGCAACCGACGCCCCGCTTCGGCGCCCGCCCCGCAGCTGTGCCCGGGCAGCAAGGTGCTCAGATATATCAACTGCGCCACTGCGGCAAAGGCCGACGCCTGCAGCGCTCTGCAGGGGTGCGAATGGTCGGAGTCGACTGCCTCTGACAACTCCACGCTGTCTTACGTAATGGGTGAGCCGGGCAGCTGTCGAGAAGCAAGGCCGCATCTGGCGGCAGACATGCTGTGCTGCACGGCTTGACTGTGGCTAAGGCGGGCAGCTGCTTCACGGCCTTGGCCAGCATTGCTGCAGGCCGGCAGTAGAGCAGCGGTGTGCATCGGCGCTGTCTACATGCCCCCTCCCTTCCAGCCGACCCCCTCATCAAGCTCCATGCTTGTAGCCCCACCATTTGCAGATGCGGCCTCGGCTCTCCGTTGCCCCGGCCGCCAGTAACACAGTTATATCAAATCCCATTGCCGACCCCACAAACCCAGGGGCCATCAACGACACCCTGTCCTGGACCACCATCCGCCCCCTGGGCGTGCTGCCGCTCGACGCGCGCTGCCGGCCCACTGACCTCAGATTTGAGGACGGGGAGCAGGCAACAGGGCCGCCGCTCAGCAGGGAGATGTGGGGCACGTGCAACACGGTGCGGCGGCTGAACGGGGGGCCGGTGTGCGACGCGGCGAAGGACCCTGCGGCGTGCCCGTCGCTGGATGGAGACATGTACGGTGAGCAAGACGCTTTTGGTTGTGGAGTGTTGCGTGGGCCCACCAGGAAGCGCGGCTGGCCGCGTGGGAGCGAGAGCCCGGCGAGATTGGGGGGCCGTTTGTGTGCTGGGAAGGGCTGAGGTCGTGGGCGTGGAGAAGACTGACTTTGGGTGCTTTCTCTCCGCCGCGTTCATCGACTGGCAGAGCACTGGCAGTATGGGGGCATGATGCGGAGCACCCATCAATTGCTGGGCGGCGGCGCTTGGAGCCACCAGTTTGTGGCTGACTGGTGAGCGCTCGAACCGGCTGCAGGCCTGCGTGTGCACTGCAGCGCGCGCGCAAGCTACAGTTCTGTGCCTGCGCCGTGCACCGAAGTATGCGTGCAGCGTGGCTGTGTGGGGCGCACCTGCTTTTGCATCCCGCGATGCTCCTGAGCCCACCACTTGGCATCCTTGCCAGCCTCAGCAAAGAGAAGCTGCCAGCATCCGCTCCCCATGCTCCCCTCTCACGCCTGTCCAGGTGGGCCTGTGACAGCCAGGCAGCGAACGTCGATGCGTGCAAGGCCGCCAACACTTCCACCTCCATCTACTCAAAGCCAAAGAGACCAAAGACCGCGGCCGTCATTGCCGCGATCCCAAGGCCGCAAAAGCTCTCGCAGGCGCCACCGGCCCCGACCGCCAGCAACGCCACCGCCATCAATGCCTCTGATGCTGGCGCGGCAACCACGGACGCCACCGACGCAGGCTCGTCAGAAGGGGATGAAGGGGACGCGGCGGCGGCAGAGGAACAGACAGGAGATGGCAGCGCAAAGGATGAGGAGGAGGCTCTGCTAGACGAGCCCCTGACCGGCGACAAGTGGGGGTCCCAACAGGACCCTGGGTCAGCAGTCGTGCCACCGGAGGTCGGGGCTGCCGCCAACGTCAGCAGCGCCGTCGCCCCTGCAAGCGAGGCCAACGGCACCGCGGCGACACCGGAGCCGCTGCGCAAGCCGAATGGGGGGGCACGGGCGGCGGGGCCGCTGGAGGGTCTTACGTTCCTGTTGGTCGCTGCTGCCATTGCGCTTGAAATAGTTGTGTGACAGTAGGCCGCATACCTTGCTAGAATAACTTACATATAGTGACGAGTCAAACACGTGTTCTGCTCATTGAAGCGCCTGCCGCCGCCGACGCATTAGCGCCTGCCTGGGGCGTCCGGCGGTTTGGGGGGACTCAAGGTGCAAGAGTTGGTCTGGCAAACAATAAGAGCTGGCTTGATCCAGCCATCTCGAAGGCCGCTCCGCATGCAACTAGCTGACATGGCATTGCAAGTGCAAGCCTTGTCTCTGCTGTACGATGCACCGGCACACATGTGCCAATGGAGTTGCCCACAAGCGCCGGGTGCACGGCGCACGCGCGGGAGGACTTTGGAGTTGCAGAGCTCGTCTTGATTTTTTGAATCAGCTGCCAAATGGCCCCTCTTGCGTTGGTGTTTGTTGTCCTACGGAGGCGGCTGTCCTGAAAAAAGGGCACATTGTCCTTTCATCACATCCACGCTGGCAATTTTGACACTGGCCAGACCCGTGCTCACAAGAACAGCGCCCTGGTTTTTTTTCACGTGGTTTGACCAGCGGGGGTCAACACAATTCATCCTGTGCTGCCGGCACTTGAGCCAGCAGTGCCGTGATTTGTTGAGGCGATAAGCATGTGGGGCTGCGTCCGCGCCACGCAGTGTGAGCACGGTCGTACTGCCCTCTGCTGTTGTGAACTTGCGGCAGCAATGCCCAAAAGCGCCGAGCCTTGCTTGCACCAGGGCTTTGTATAAATGCCGCACTTGTAGTGTATGTCGTCTTGTCTTTTTTGCAATACACATTGACAGATGCCGCAGTACTCTGGACACGGCTGCCTAATGGCATGCAACATCACATGCATGGATCCTGCGGTTTTATTTTGATTGTTGCTCGTGATGTGGCACATACCCTTAGCCTTTGATTTGCAAAGTTAAGATCTGTCTGGGTCTAAAACTCCAATCAAAGATTCCATCAGGGACAGTAGAGCTGCGTTGTGTAATGATGAAACGGCTGAAGCCTCGAGCCTTGGGCGTACTCTATCTGAGCCACTGGTAGGCCAGCTTTCCAGCAGGTGGCTGTGGGGATTACGAGTTCAGTGGTGACAGCTCGACTCCTTCAAGGGACCCAGACCTATTCCTGACGGGGCATTATGCGTAGTTATTACACAATTCCCTTCGCAATTAGCCATCTTTTAATCAGTAGGCAGGCCCCTGGAGGCAGTTGCACGGTACAACGGAAAGCACATCAACTCTCGTGAGGGGATAACAGCACCAACATTAGCAACTCCATGCAACGACAACCAAAACAGAGTGTATACGCAACCAGAAGCCTGCAGTTGTCTAGCAACAACAATGCCAGCTATTGTCAATGACAGAAAAATCAATTACGGAATTCAGGGTGCACAGCAACGTGATGCCACATCACCTGCATGCCTGGCATGCGGGCTGCTGTGTGTGTGAAGTCCCAGCTCGCCTGCGTGTCAAGGTTCAAAAGGTGCTGTGCACCCCCACGCGGCCCAACAAAGTCTCAACAGGCACAGGAGCCCCTTGCAGCGCTACTGGTGCCGAATACACCAAACCCCCTACCAACAGCATGCAGTTTGACAATACATTGATCGATATCGAAGCACGGGGAATCAATTGTGGAAGCGTTGTGCACTGCGCACGCAGGGCGCCCTCGCCAGCCCCACAAGCGAGCTGCGAGTTGGTGTGTTGCCGTGCTCGCACATATAATCAATGATCAGGGTCCGCCGCCCGTAGGGCTGCCGCCGCGGTTGGCCAGGGGCGCCAGCTTTATCGCGCCCGCCGCCAGAAGCGCCGCCGTGAGGCTGCCGTCTTCCAACGCGTCGTGCCGCCCCATGGAGGCGCCGAATCCGGGCGCGGCCCGGCCCTCGCCGCCGCCAGGGCCGCCGCCGAGCACGCTCGGGGAGGCCGGCGCATCAGGCCCTCTGTCCAGCGCGATGGACGGGACGCGCCTCATGGACAGGGACGCCAGCGCCCACCGCGCGCCCTTGCTGCCTGTGGCCTGGGCGGCGCCGGGGTCTGCCGACGTCAGGGACCCAGGCTGCGACGGCGCGTTTAACATATATGCAGCTGCAGGGCCGCCGGGGCGCAAAGGGGGCCCGTCATCGGCCGGGGCAACTGTGGCGGCGGCCGCAGGCGGCGGCTGCACCCGGGAGGCGAAGACGTCTGTGAACTTCCCGGTCGGAAGTCGTACGGTCTCAACCGAGCGGCGGTGCCCGTCCACCCGCCCGGAGCGCCGGCGCTGTGCGAGGGGGAGCCGCGTTTGCAACGACAGGCATGTCAGTTGAATATCGCGAACCGTAGAACCGACACTGCCACGTTCTCACGCACGCACTGGGTGGCCAGCAACGGTGCACCAGCTGCGAATGCGCGAAACGCACTCGCACTCTGTTTGCAGCAACACACAATTTGGAGTCACGTCGAGGCATCTGCGCTGCGCGCACCATATAAGAGCGGATCCAGGGGTGCCGCAGCAGCTCCGCAATGCTGGGGCGGTCCGAGGGCCGCTTGGCCAGGCAGGAGCGCACAAAGTCCTGCGCCAGCTCGCTCATGCAGCCAATCTGTGGAGGGGGGGGATCAAAAAGCGCGTGCGCGTTCCACGACCGCCATCCGGTCGAGGCACGGTTGCACCCGGCCTTACATTGAAGGCCTGGAATCCGATCAACCGCACCCCCCACAGCCAACGCCCAAGCGCCCTGCCCAGGGGCGCGGTCAAGATGCCTGCCCGGCGTGCATCTGAGGTGAGCACTCGCACAGATGCACTAAAACCAAGATAAGTATGCAGTGGTCAGCACCCAAGTGACCAAGGCAAAGGGCACACACGCCCCATGTGGAGCTGGGCACAAGATCGTCAAAGGCAGCCAGGGCGGCAGCCCCCAATCGTGCCCACCTCAAAGGCCGGCTCACACAGCTGGATCGCACTCATCACGGCTGCTGTGTTGTCGCCGCCGCCCTGGCTTTTAGGCGTGAACGGCGCGCTGCGGGCGCGCGGACGGCGGGGGCCGGGGGTGGCGGCGTGAGGAAATTTTTCACGTGGATCAGCGCAATTGCGTGGCGGCGGCAGCCTGTATTTGCTGCAGCTGGCGCAAGCGTGGCTTGGCCGGGTTGGCTACCCCACAACTCCTAATCAGCTAAAGATGTTCAGGCACCCGCTGCTATCGCAGAGCTGTGTATGGCGACGACGACCCATGTCTTGGTGCGGTTAGCAGCGTTTTGGCCAAGGCAAGGGGGGTGGGCACGGCAGGAGCAGCAGCAGCAGCAGCAGCAGCAGCAGCAGCAGCAGCAGCAGCAGCAGCAGCAGCAGCAGCAGCAGCAGCAGCAGCAGCAGCAGCAGCAACAGCAGCAGCAGCAGCAGCAGCAGCAGCAGCAGGATAAGTAGCAACAGCAGCAACAGCAACAGCCAAAGTGGCAGCAACATCAGCGCGCGACGCAGCATCCAACAGGAGCACTCACTGCCCGACCAGCAGCTCGTAAGCCAGCACCCCCGCAGCCCACGCGTCCACCGCCTCAGAGTATGCCAGCTCAGCGCGCCCCTTGTTCTCCTGTAGATGATGTAGGGCGCAGTTGAGCAGCAGCGCCCATTCAACTTAGTAGGGCGGTACGCAAGGCGAAAGGCGTTACATTATTTTGCCATCAGGCGGTGCAGAGAAGCGCCATGTGAAGATTCGCAGCATGCAGGAGCCAGCGCAGCAGCCAAGCCGCGAGCGGCGCCCACCTGTGGGCTGCGCTTCAGCGGGCACCGCAGCACTGCGGGCGCGGTTGCGGAGCAGCATCGGCAATGTTGGGAGGGGCAGAAGGCAGGCCAGGGCGTCAGAGCGCGAGCCCAGGGCGCTCGTGCACTCCAGAGCGCTCAAGCATGGTGTTCACTCACAAACCCACCTTCCGGCGCCATGTAGTCTGTGGCCCGTGCCATAGACAGCCGGCAAGGAAGTAGATGTTGGTTGTGTGTGGGGTTCAGTGCGGTTCAGGATTGCCGTGAGGGGTTTGCGAAACTTGCTCGCTTTGTACCAAACGGTCGGCCTGAATGAGGCAGCATTGCTAGAGGTACGACGAGGCTGTGTCCCACGTTGTGGTCAATCACTCCGGTCCATTCCCTGCAACCGCACCCCAGGCCCCGCGGTCGGCCGGCTCACCCCGCAAGCAGGGCGCGCGCCCGCCAGCAATAGTACCAAACCGCAAAGCGGCGTGCGCGCGCGCACGCGTGCACGCATGTACAAGTACGAGCGGACGGCTGGCCGGCTGGCGCGGACGCCGTGGTGGGTGGGCGGGCTCACCCAGCGTGCCGACCCGCGTGACTGCGCGCTCCTCCCGCAGGTTGAGGGCCAGGCCAAAGTCTGCCAGCTTGAGGGTGAGGCTGTCGGGGTCACTGAACAGCACGTTCTCTGCAGCGAGGGCCCCGGGAAAGGAGAGGGGGTGGAATTGGATTGGGAAGTGGTAGCGGGAGCCGCCGTTGCCAGCAGCCTGGGCCCTGTCCCAAGCGGGCACCACTGACTTCCGCGGCTTTGTGCGCGTGCACTGCTGCCTACGCTGCAGCGCGCCTCCACGCGGCCCACAAATCCCCTTGGTACATCGAGGGTGGGCAGCTCTGAATGCTCACTCTGGCCAGCCCTCCCC